GAGTCCCCATCCCTGGAGGGATTTAAAAGACGTGTAGATGAGGCGCTTAGGGACATGGTTTAGTGGGCATGGTGGTGTTGGGTTGATGGTTGGACTTGATGATCTTAGAGGTCTTTTCCAACCTCAATGATTCTATGATTCTATGATTCTATGATTGCTATCCAGAGGAACCTTGAAGGGCTTGAGGAGTGGGCCAATGTGAACCACATGAAGTTCAACAAGGCCAAGTGCAAGCTCCTGCACCTGGGTCAGGGCAAACTCCAGTATCAGTACATACTAGGGGAGGAATGGATTGAGAGCAGCCCTGCCGAGAAGGACTTGGGGGTACTGGCGGATGAAAAGCTGGACATGAGCCGGCAATGTGCACTTGCAGCCCAGAAAGCCAGTCATATCCTGGGCTGCATCAAAAGAAGCGTGGCCAGCAGGTTGAGGGAAATGATTCTCCCTCTCCACTCCGCTCTCATGAGACCCCACCTGGAGCACTGCATCCAGCTCTGGGGTCCCCAGTACAAAAAAGATATGGACCAGTTAGAGCGGATCCAGAGGAGGGCCAGGGAAGTGGTCCGAGGGCTAGAACACCTCTGCTATGAAGAAAGGCTGAGAGAGTTGGGGTTGTTCAGCCTGGAGAAGAGAAAGCTCAGGGAGGCCTTTCAATACTTAACTAATAATTTAACTAATTTGATATCATTCTACGATAAAGTCACCCACGTAGTGGATGAAGGGAAGGCAGTGGATGTAGTTTTTCTGGATTTTAGTAAGGCTTTTGATACTGTCCCTCACAGCATCTTTCTGGACAAGTTGTCCAACTATGAGATAAGCAGGTACATGGTGCACTGGGTGAAAAACTAGCTGGACAGCAGGGTGCAAAGGGTTGTAGTGAATGGGTCTACATCTGGCTGGCGACCATTCACCAGCGGTGTTCCTCAGGGCTCAATTCTATTGAATTCACTATTTTTATCAATGATCTGGATGCAGCAGTTGAATGTGGCATTAGCAAGTTTGCTGATGATACCAAACTGGGAGGTGCTGTTGACTTTCTCGAGGGACATGAGGCCTTGCAGAGGGATCTAGATAGATCGGAGAATCAGGCAATCATCAGTGGCATGAAATTTAACAAGACCAAATGCCAGGTTCTCCACCTGGGACAAACTCTGGACCCAAGTATAAATTGGGAGAGGAGTGGCTGGAGAGCAGCCCTGCAGAAAGGGATCTGGAGGTGCTGGTTGGCAGCAGGCTCAACAGGAGTCAGCAGTGTGCCCTGGCAGCCAAGAGGGCAAACCACATCCTGGGGTGAATCAAATACAGTATAACCAGCTGGTCAAAAGAGGCGATTATCCTGCTGTATTTAGCGTTGGTGCGGCCTCACCTTGAGTACTGTGTGCAGATCTAGGCCCCAC